AAGATAATCTGAGTTAAAATTAAACCACAAAATGTAAAAGGATAAAGCCTAAAGTAGATGATTGAGAGTCATGTATCCAAATCAAGACAAAGCACCCAGGGATATGGGAATTTGAAGTGGGTGTTCCCTGGATCCTGGAGGTCCCCCAGTGCTTGAAGTTTAATAAGTAAGATTTATAGGGCAATTGTGGTCAGCCTTTTCATTCACAGTGTTTTCACATACATTGTCATTTAATCCTCATACCAGGCTTGCAAAGCACCTATTATTATCTTCAGTTTACAATGGGGGGGAACTCAAGGCCAGAGTTAACTTAGGGCCCACACCATTGCTCAGTTAAGGGAGCTGGTTCTGATCCCTGCCTCTCTTCCCAATACCAAGCTGCCCTTACTATAGCCGGCTCTACAGGAAGGGAAATACAGAGACCTGTCATTGCCACCACAGAATCCCCCAAATTCCCTTAATCTGGTCCCTCACAGCAGGGTAGCTGCCCTCTAGGGCAAAGGGCACAGGGAAGGGGGGGCCCCAGGAGTTAATTATTAACCCTTTGAGCCTCAGGGCACCACAGGCTTCTCTCCCCTCCTGGAGACAGAGGGACCAGACTGGCCAGGGCTGGTGGTCCAGCAGCAGCCATGGGGGTCGCCGGGGTCCCTGGCCCGGCAGCACTGTTTCCGCCACTCAGTTCCTATCACTATCTTCCTGCTGCTGCTTCTTTATCTCAGTGCTCGGATCCTGGGTGAGTGTCCCTTCCCTCAGCTGCTCCTCGGAGGAACTCAGTAGTCCAAGCCTGCTTCTCAGGTGCTCAATGATCCGCCTCTCCTCAGCGCCCTCTCGGCTGCGGATCCTGGGCACAAGCCTGCATTCGGAGGGACGCCACCTTTCCAGGTACGTTCAGGGCAAGGCTAGGCGTGGAGCTCCAGATGGAACCTGAAAGGGGGACGTGGAGCCAGGCTGAGCATCTGGGGAAGGGGGTACTCCCCCTCCTTTCCCTCTCCCATCCGAAGCTGAGGTACCGCAGGAAGGACACCAACTAGACCTTAGGAACAATTCTTCAGAGTCGCTATGCTGCTAGCTAGTAGGTCCCACAGCCTAGAGGCTCTGCTCCCCGCCCCCTTCCTCTCCTGTCTACCCCCAGGGCCAGCAAGAGTTGGGAGCCCAGGTGCCCCAACAGTGGAAAGAGCCTTCCTGTCTGGAACCTCAGGGGATGCTGGGCCGCATGATGAGGCCATTCCGAGCCAGTCTGAACCCCGCAGGGGATGTGGAGTTGTCGCAGTACTTGGCAGGATGGAGGGAACTAGTCAAGTGAGTGGTCTCCCTCCCGCAAGCCAGTCCCCTCCTCCTTGTGGTTCCGTCGGCCTCTCCCAAATGGTCTCTCCCATCCCACCACCAAACACACAGGCTCCTAACTCCCTTGGGCTCCATCTTCACCTTCGCCACAAGCGAGGCCTCCACCAAGGTGACGGCCCTCGAGGCTCGGCTGCGCGGCCCAGACGCAGAGCACTACACTTCGCTGGCGGCCATGGTGGCGTGGGAGCGGCGGGCCGGCCTGCTGCAGCGGCCCGGGGCCGTCCCCCGGGACTCGGCCCGGCCCTCGGGCTCACGCACGCTGCTCTTGCTGCACCGCGCGCTGCGCTGGTCCCAGCTCTGCCTCCACCGGGTGGCGACCGGGGCGCTCGGAGGCCCGGACGCCGGCGCGCAGTGCAGCGACGCCTACCGCACGGCCCTGGCCCCGCACCACCCCTGGCTCATCCGTCATGCTGCCCGCCTCGCCTTCCTCGCCTTCCCCGGTCGCGGCCGCCTGCTCGAGCTGTCGTGTCCAGGAACCACGGAGGCGGAGGCGCGGACCGCGCTGGCCCAGGCCGCCGGCACCCTGGAGGATGTCTACAACCGCACCCAGGGCATGCTGGCCGAGCTCGGCCTGCTGCAGCTGGCCTGAGGAGGACGGCTGCAGGGGACCGGCCGGGAAGGGAGCGCCCAGGGGCAGGGCCAGCGACGCCCAGGCTCCAGGCTGGCGGCCTAGATATCCCGCCTCTCTAGTGACGCCACCACGGCTGAGGCCCGCCCCCGGCGGGGCATGATCTTGAGTTCCTCCCTCTGTCCTCAGTCTCAGAAAGATGGGAGGAGCTGTGAGGAATAAAAAGTGTTATTTGGCAGCTGTCGACTTAAGAGAGGATCACTTGAGCCCGGGAGTTTGAGGTTGCAGTGCACCACACTCTAACCAGGGTGACAAAGTGAGACACTGTCTCAAAAAAAAAAAAAAAAAAAAAAGCCTTCACAGAGCTCAAGGTCCATTGGGAGAGAATTTATCATCTGTCTTCCCTCCTGGAATGTGAGGTCTCATGAAGACACTGGCCTTGTCTTTCTTGGTTCCTTACAGCACTTAGAATATTGCTTAAGCCAAAACACATTATTGATAAATAAACATGTACTGAATGTATTGAATCAAAGGAATGTGTATGAGGGGCAGGTAAATCAAAGGTGGTGGCCCTGTCAATTTTAGCCAGTTTTTTTTGGTTTTTTTGTTTTGCAAATTAGGAGTCCACCTAGTGGTCATGCGGGGAAGGCATTCTGGGAAAAGATACAAGGGTACAGAA